ACGACCTCTATTTTCTAAGATATTTACGTAAATATCTACAAAATTATTGGTTTCAATAATTTTTTACTTGAATTCTATCAACTTTACCGAAAAATATCAAGAAATAAAAATTATTTATTTTGTTCTCATAGAGCTCTGAGAATTTTTTCAGAATTTTATATTAATTTTTTAGTACTGCATTTTCTTGAAGTACTAAAAAGTTAACATAAAATTCTGAAAAAATTCTCAGAGCTCTTTGAAAACAAAATAAGCAATTTTGATCTCTCAACATTTTTCGGTAAAGTTAATAGAATTTAAGTAAAAAATTATTGAAACCAATAATTTTGTAGATATTTACGTAAATATCTTAGAAAATAGAGGTCGTATAAAAAATTTTTTTAAGCAAAAGTTATTTGCTTTTTTATGTAGAATAAAATCCCGTAATAAAAAATATGTATTTCAATTTAAAAAGGCAAAGTTGACCTTGTTCTGACCTTGGCGACGTCATCTTAGGTCAAATAACTACTGTCATTAAATGCGACTTTTTAAGCCTTACAACTTTTATTGGAAACATTTTTCTTTAAAATGCTCTCACGCTGAGTTTTCTTGCCGTTTCCGAACTTATGGGACACACTGTATATAAATTGCGACGCTAAGTTTCGCGAACGTGAGTTTCGCGAGCGACGGCAGACAGTCGCCTGTTAGCCGCGTCGACAAATTGCCGTCGGCTCCAGAACACGCCACTAAGATACTCGCGATAGTTGGGCGCCAGATGCGGAAAGGTTGCACCACCTCGATAAACGCGAGAGTCGATAATTATTGCGAAAATCGCGCGTCCCGGAACCGTCGGGACCGGTAGCTCTTAGGAGGTTAAAGTCGGAGACGGGATGGGTTAGAAGAAGGCGAAATCAACTTGACTTGATTTTAATACTGAGAATTACGTTTATTTGGGGACTCTCGCACGTCCCGATATTCCATCCGCGATATAAAGTCGTAACGGTAACGTTCCTCGGTGAACGGTACTGCTCGCGAAACGCCACG